TCCATCAATTTTCTGATCGGCCTTATGCTCACAAGGGTCACGGGGCGTGCTGGAGACTATTCCAGCTGTCTGCTAGCAGTAGGCGGGGGACACCCTGAACTGGTTGCCAGCCAATCGCAGGGCAAACAGAAACAAACAACCATCTGTGCTTACACTCACACCTTGGGACAACTTAGTGTTCCATTAACCTGCCATGCATGGTTTCGGGATGTGGGAGGAAACCGAAATACCTGGAGAAAACCCATGCAGGCACAGGAGAACATGCAAACTCCACACAGGAAGGCTGGCGGAGCTGGAATTGAACCCACGACCTCTGCACTGTGAGGTTGATCCGCTAATCACTGGACCACCCCTCTCTCTCTCTCTCTCTCTCTCTCTCTCTCTCTCTCTCTCTCTCTCTCTCTCTCTCTCTCTCTCTTCCCCCCGTATTGTTTTCAGTCTGCAATATTTTTACATAGGGCTTGGAGTGATGCATTCACATGATCAGGAATGTAATTTTATTTATTTCCCCACGACCCTAAATACTCGAATCGAATATTCCATGCATTACTCAAATAATCAGATGCAATTTCATTTTGCATTAAAATGTTTTGCAAAATCGTCCCCCCCCCCCCCATTGGTGTTCCTTAACCGATGTTATTTATTATTGTTTAGTGATGGGGGAAAAAAAACACCAAAATAATTTGGGGCTGATTGTTTTCCCAAATTAAAAGCAGATGTCTTTAAATGTCTTATTTTGATTAAGCACAAAGCACCTCAAAGGAAAAGGCAATCCCCATCAGAAAAATGTTCCCCACCCTTGCTGTGTAGAAGAGGCCACAGTGTAATTCCTGTTGTCCTCAGGCTGCCCATTACAACAGTGAAATCACATAAATGGATAATAGATGGGGGTCTAAGGGTACACCAAAATGCTGGTTACAGTCGGGGGTGGGAACAAAGGCAAAAAATAACTGCTCATGTTTTGTATGAACGAAACACATTTGATAACATTAAAAATGAAAAAGTGGATTCTGCTTTCCAGAGCTCCAGATGAATATTTTTTTTTTGCTAGGACCACATGAGCCCCGAACTAAAAATTGTTGTTAATAGATCAAGTTAAGTTTGTTCATTCATGTTTTCAATTCGCATTTTTTTGTGCAAGTATTGACACAACATAAACTCGACACTATCATAATTTATTCAACTTAAACACTAAAAATGTAAATTTAATGATGAGACAGTGCAAATTCGATCGGCCAATTTCACAGTCTGCACATGAATTTGCAGTAGAATTGAATTTTTCTACCTGACGAAGGCGCAGGCAGCGTTGGTTCTGTTCTATCTCAAAGACAGAGTAAATGTGAGAACCAACGAGTAGTCTGTCTATATATGCCCTATTTTCGTGCCCAGCGCAAGTCTAGCACAAAGTGCAGTCTTGTGTGCATCGTTGGTGTTTTCCTCCTTTTGGTATTTTTTTTTAGACAAGGGCAGGCAGAAAGGGGCATTTGCGCCATGGTGGGAGTGAACACAGCCGACTTAACTTTCTGGCCAATGAAAGCGGCTCCACTCGTTCCTTTGACATTCAGCCCAGGAGAGGCCAGTCTTGAACTGGAGTCATGGAAAAATTACAGCAAGCTTTCACAGACCATATAAAATGATATGGGGGGGGGGGGGGCTTGATTTTGACACGTGCTCTAAATACAGGCAATAAGGCAAAGGGAAGTCAAGTTCTTGTCTTGTTTATTTGTTTGAGAGGAATGCAAGTACAATGTACAGCAAAGACACGGGCACGACTTGACGGACAAGCACTGCAGTAGAGATGAAGCTGCAGAGGAAGAAGGAGTGCAGAGGGTCCCAAAGTCCAAAGGTCCACAGCATCTGCAGTTGCTCCCAGGTAGGACAAGCACGTTTCTGTCACGTGTACAGGATGATCCAATGTGATTGACGGGAAGGTGACAAGCTCACGTGCACTGTGTTGATGTAAGGCTCTCTTTCTTTGCGTTCCCTCTACTGTCCATCGAGACCACGGCGACAACTTCACTGAACTCGACCGGATCCACTAACTACAAGGTACATGGTTTCTTTGTTTTTGGTCCATCTTCCATTCCGTTCACGACACACAACGGAGCTACACCACATGGGAATGTTTCATACCTCTTGACAAAAGAAAAAAAATGATCACAACTCTTATCGGTCACATGATACAAACCTTTGCACAAGTTCTGGGTATGAGGGACACAAGTCCCGAGGCCTCGTCAACACTCTGGCACTTGAATAATTACATTTCTAGTTTGATACAAAAAAAAAAGGTTTCACAAATCTCATCCCGTTTAACTGATAAGTGGCACATTGCACGTCCGTACGGTCAAAATAAGTTCTAATCAAAGTGCTGCACATTGTGTGATCAATTGCAACAATCTTGATGAAATGAATGAAGCAGAAATAAAAGGTGGAACTGCAACAGAGAGTACTGTTATTTTTCATTCTGGAGGGGAAGAGAAGTGTATGTGTATTCAATGTAAAAACATACAGGGCAAGGTCAGCTGTGGAAAAAAAAAAGGCCTGTACAGAGTTTATTATCTCTGCAATCACTGGGTTTTAGGATTACGTAGCCTGGGTAAATCTGCACCTTATTTGGGTGAGCACTTTTCATTTCCCGTCAGGAAGTTAAATTTCCTCTTTAAAACGACCCGACTCTCATTTGGATTGCGATTAGTTTGACCTTTGCTGTTTCTGTCATAATCTGCAATCTGCATCTGTTGGTTTAAATGCATTACTCAATTGAAGCCCAATAATGCAAAGATATTGCCATGCGAGTATGAGCTCAAATACTGTTACAGAAGCCCAGTGATGATCTTAATCTACTCACTACACAAATATGCAGTTGAGCTCCTTAGGCTGGGGAAAGAAGGGAAGGAACTTGGCCCTTTTTAAACATGCTGGACTGCTACCGTATGGGAATAGGAAGTGCCTTCGTAACTCCTGATTTCTAGACCCAAAGGCAGAAATTGTTGAAATGTACAATCCGTCAAGTTGCAAGTTAGTTACATTCATACACGCTACTTCTACAGTACAACCCAAAACTCAAATTAGGTGTTGGGCCTTAAATGCACCACCAGAGGGCAATGTTGTTCTTTTCGATTCAAGTCTACGCTCCTCAATCAGTGCAATGCGGATAGGACATGAACTATTTGTCCATTTCAGTAGTCGTGGAAGTTCTTAAATGCATTACGAATGAAGAAACATACACAGCAGGGCTTTGCGAACAAGGTTCTCTACTACTACATACATCTCCTAGTCTCTTGTGTAAAATGACAGAGTTGGACAAGGGCTCCATCATGGCACAAAAATGAATCGAATCCCTTTGAAGCTTCTAAGGGAACCTTGTTGGATTTTTGTTTTTTTCCCAGGGAAAGTTAATCACCACTCTTTCTTTTTGTTTTCTTTGCAACATCACCTTCAAGCATTCTGTCACAAGAATGCAAATCTGTTTCAACAGAAATCAGAAAAGCAGAAATTAGATTTAAAAAAGGAGTTCGGTTTCCGGGGGTGGGGTGGGTGGGGGGGGGGGGTGCAGGGTGCTGTCAGCTGGGGCGATAAAG